CATTCAAGGCCCCTCAGGACAATTCCTGATCACCCAGATGGCATCTTGTACCTCCAGCAACCTTATTTACTATATCTCTTGCAGTAAATGCCCAGCCATCTATATTGGGGAAACAGGAAGGAGACTCGGAGACTGCTTCAGAGAACATGTTAGGGCTGTGAAGGTTAAAGATCTCTCCAAGCCCATTGTCTCTCATTTCACCTGTGATGGCCATGACCACTCTAATCTCTCCGTCTGTGTTCTCAAAGACGGTTTTCCGAACTCATACATCAGGAAGACTACTGAAACCAAAATTATCCTGCAGCTAGGATAACACCTTCCCCTTTCTCTTAACGACAGACTACTTTTCTTATAAATTCTCTCTATTAACCTATCCTGACTTCACACCTCTTGATTGGCCTCTCTTTCTGTCCCCTGCTCCCGCCCCTCGCTGCTCCTCTCTCCCAGCTTTTGTTCTCCCACTACATTACCTTTGCTCACTGCCCTGTCTTTCTCACACCTGAAGAAGGTTCCACGGCCAAAACGTCCTGTTTTCTTTCTTCTTTTTTTCAGCATGGAATAAACCTATTACTTGTTCCTTTGCAGCCTAGGCACGCTGACGCAGCTACTCACCTGAACTACTAAATTCATGTAGGCTCTTTTAAATTCTCTTTTTCGTAGTTCGTACTCTGGTTTCTCTTCATCTCGTACAAATCTTTCGCCTTTTACTGAAGATTTCTGTGAAGACGAGCATGAATGAGTTCCGTGCAATTTTTGTGCCTCCCTGCCGTTGGGTGGGGTGCAGTTTTATTGGTGGTGCGGTGGCTCTGTGGCTAAGGATCTGTGCCTGTGGCTGGTTCGTATCTCGCGGCTGGCAGAGGAATCCTACTCTGTTGGGCCCCTGAGCAAGGACTTTAACCCTAACTGCTCCAGGGGCATAAATGGCTGACCCTGCACTCTGATCCCAAGCTTGTCTCCCTGACTGTGTGTCTCATGGATAGCAAGCTGGGGTATGCAAAAAGACAAATTCCTAATGCAAGAAATTGTATATGGCCAATAAAGTGATCTCATCTTATTTTGCTGTTTTTGTTTTGTAATGTACATATCCCAGGTAAGTAAGCATTGCGTTTAGGAAGTGTGTTTCTCTCTTGCAGGCAGGAATACATTTTTGACTGAAAGATAAACTGATTTAACATGCTTACCATCGGCTGGAGTTCTGATCTCTACTGAGACCTGCCTACCTCCTGAACTGTTTCACTGGTGTGAAGAGTGGGATGGCATGAAAACATAACCAACACTAACTTTGTTTTTCTTTATTATGTGTAATTCCTAGACAATATGAAAAGCCACACAGTACTGATAAGAGACACGGTGTGACTGGGCCTATTGGAAGGCATGGCCACTGACAAGGCTGGTGCCTACATTGGACTCGGTGGATTGCTATGTTTTGCCACTCACAGTGGGGGTGATTGCTATCTCTCACCCCTGCCCCACCTCAGGGGGCCCAGCTGCACATTTTTTCCAGCCTGTTGGGATGTTTTGTTTCCAGTGGTGGGTTAAAAGTAGACCTTGGAAATATTATATTTTCATCTATAAACTGCAGACAGCAGTGCGGATTTCCTCTTAGTCGTCACTTGTCTCTCAGCATGACAGGTAATTTGCATGGTTACTATCTCGCTGGGAATTATGTTAAAAGTACATTATTTACTCTACTGTTTTTTTTTCAGTTCCATTCATTTTTTAAACATTTGGATTAGTTCCAACCATTCAATTATTTCAGCTGTCACCCCAATGTTATTTGTTCTTTCTTGGGGCTGAGGAAATAAATCAAATATTCAGTTTTGATCTAATGCTGTTATCTGGGTGCTGAATCAACAGTTAAAGCAGACAGTCCGAGAGCTTCTTTGTCTAATACTGAATACTGTATTTCTAACATCTTAAGTGAAGGTACACTTTGCTGTGTATTTTGTAAGCAAAAGAACAGTTCTAGGGTGTCCTTGCTAAAGTTCAACAAGGGAAATACACCTTTCTCCCACTGAGATCTCTCTGCTGCCAGATTACAGAAGAGAAAATCATTCATGCAGGATTTTGGTGTTTGTATCAGGCATTGCGGCATGACAGTGAGCAGAAAGGCAGAGAGGAAATCCTGTTTTGAGGAATCTCTCTGCACTGCCATGTCTCTCCGGCCCTCAATGCTCTAATCCTTTATCCTACTCGCTCTGACCAACGTGGACTCTAAAGATGAATATGAGTGAGCTGTTTATTCTAAGGGGCCTCTTGGTGTGAATCAAGTTGACAAAAGGAAGTCAGAAAGATGTCTTCATTGTGAAATAATGTTTATTATTTCACACAATAGGTGGATGACTCTTCCAGAGATACAGCTGGATAGTAGATAATTCCACCAGCATTGTGGAAAAAGATGAGGGGGAAAGAGTGCATTTTTTTCTTTTAAACAGAAGCAATAACACATGAGCCCAACCATTCCGTATCCTTTTCACTCCCCCCTCAAAAATCACGTCAGTATATGAGAATTTGGAAAAGGTATTGAACAAGTCCTAAGTCTAAACTATTTTTTTCTTTGGAAAGCCCAAAGGATGTTTTTCAATGTACCATAAACTGCTATTGGACAAAAATGTTATTATAACTAAATGATTAAGTGGTTAAGAGAAAGGCCTGGGTATGTTTCCTATGCAGACTGAGGGTCCATTAGTACAGCCACAGTTCCCATGGTGTTGGGTGAAAAAACATTCATGGGAGCAATAGCCAATCTGGGTTTAGTGCGTGTGGAAGACTGCCAGATCCTTTTACAATGGGTGGAAATGGGAACTCAATACAAACTTTCTCACAAATTCAGAGATTTTTTTCCCCCCGAATGATGTAAAATTCACAGTACAGCCCTCAAATGCTATACAAATTCTCGAAGTCATTTTTACGATCGTAATTTAATTATTTTGTATGATCAACATTTTTTGACCAGCATCTTATTCATTTTCAATCTGCTCTGCGTGTTGTTATAATTTTATAATATAAAATTGAGTAGTATATGTTATTAGAAAAAATGTTGTAGTAAGTTAAGCAATTTTTTAAAAGAAATGAAATTCGATGGCATAAGTTTGCAGGCTCACACACTTTTTCTGCACTTTCTTTGCTGTGAAATCTTCAGTGTTTATAAAAGATAGGTTTGGGGGTGTGTTCGCGTCTTAATATATTAAAGTCTGAGAGAAGATGATAAGATGGTGCCTTTTCTCTCACAACTTACCCCCCCAAATGCCACAACAAATTATTAGCACTGAATAACAAAAGCCTTTAGGGTCAATAGTCTCTGCTGGGGCAGCACAGTCTATCCACCACCCCAGAAACGCAGCCAGGTGTTGACACAGCATCCACACTTTCCCCATCAGCTTCCCAACTCTCCTCCCTTCTCACACTGGGCACTCCTGCCTGAGTACTGCCTGACCCCACAATGGCTTTTGACTCTGCAAAGAGATGCTGTTTGGTGTGGATGTCTATAAATTTCAGGATTAAAAAAAAAAATCTTTTGATCAGGGATGCATCAAAGCAAAGGGTGGATCCTTTGGAGCAGGGAGGGCTCCTGGCCGACTACTAAGGAAACAGGAAGAGCTGTTTTAGGGGCTCTCCTATTTGCGGCTAAAAGATGAGGGAGTTGGAGGCAGAGAACAGGAGAACTGAGGCAAAGGGCACGTGTCATCAACACTCCATTGACTTTTAAAATGATACAAGAGTTCTCAGAAACTCTTTGACATAAGCATGTTGAAGAACGTGTAAACATTCAGCCACAGTCAAAAGGTCTAACGTTCTTTTCAAAATACTCTAAATTGTACATTCCAATTTCTCACTACTTTTTATGTAATTCCAAAATCGGGACTGAGATAATGTGCAATATGGCATCATTACTGGTCGACCCTGTGCATTTTCTTATTCTTTTCAAGTGCTCAGCAAACTGAGTTAATTTCTTACTAATCCCGTTTACAGAAAATAACAATGCAAAACTGGTTCCACGTTATTTAAAATAGTAGAGTATTTTAAAAATAGCTCCAGCCTTTTGTTTGAAAACAGGAAAGAAAGCTACAGAATGGTAAGGGGAATCTCCTTCAGCTGCTGGAAGATGCCAGGAACTGTAAAATTAAATCAAGCTGTGATGAGAAATCAAGAGCAAATGTAAATGAATATTACATCTTACTTTGAATTAAATTTGGTCGCCTTCCATGTAATTATGCAGGAAAAATGACCAGCCACCACTTCCTTAATCAGTAAATGACTACAAACATGACCAAATCTCAACTTTTAAGTTCTTAAAATATTTTTTTTTCTGACAGGGAAAGAGAGTTCTAGAAGGGGCTTACAGTTCATTTCTGTCTAGATTTAGTTATTTCAGACTAAACATCACACGTAACTTCAAGACAAACTTTTAACTGAATACGCTTCTGAGGAAAATCGATTTGCTTGTCTTAATTCAGTAAGAACTGCAATGTTATGGTACAGTTCCTTTCAGTTACCTTGCACTTGCGTTTGTGAAAATAAACATTAACAGTAATTTATTTGTTTCAAATACTGTCCGGATTTGTGTAGAATATTTGGAAAATAAAACAGAATAGTTGCAGAATATTTGTTTTTACAGTGCAGCTTTTATATCCCAACCCTTTTAGAGCCCAGGTAATATAAAAGCGGTACCAGTAGCCTCTTTTATATATATATTTTTTTTTTTTGCAAGGTAATATCACCAATATTTACAGTATACCGCACCTTTGTAGAATGTTTTCATGTTTTCATACTGTTTTAACTTGTCGGTACCAAGATTCAATTGTGCCTTAAAATAAAACGTAATTGTCCTGTTAAACTTAAATAACGATAAGACACACATCAGTTTATTAATAACAGCAGATATTTTCCCCAAAGTGCGCTGGAGACAGTGAATTAAGGCTGCTTCTCGGACGACTGTCAGTCAGACTTTTTTTTTCTCCTCCGTGACGTTTTTTCCTTCCTCTTCCACCCCGAAGAATCTTCTCCGGGAATCATCAGAAAACAGAAAAGTCAAGCTGCTGCGGCGGCAACGGATTTTCCTCTCTTTTCTAACCTTAAACCACCGTTTCTACAATTGGAATGAACTTCAAAGGTCCGTGAAGGAGGCACAGGCGCTCCGAGAAACCGCAAAGCGAAGGAAAATGTACAATACACGCTTGGGATTGACAGACTCGATTCAGATCTCCCTATCTGGAAAACTCTGACAGGATCCCATGAAAGTACAAAACTCTTACCAATTGCAAAGGATTACAAGTTCTCTAGGATCTCCAACGATGATACTCTACCTGTGCTTTTTATGTCTCATCTCAGTAACGGGTAAGGTGTTCATTATTATTGTTGTTGTTGTTGTTCTTGTTCTTATTGTGGGGAACAACCACAACGATTTTAAAGAATTAAGTACTATCCCCTTTTCCTACCACACCACCCGCTGCCCCCAATTTTTAATTCTGTGTTACGGAATGTGTGCAAGGTTGAGAAGTTTTACACATATACACAAATTCAGTCTCAGATTAAAATACATAGCCGAGTTTACGATGATTGGGGTTGTCACTTTTATTGGCCGGTAACCTCAGAGCAAAAATCATAATAATCTGCGATAGTTCTATTGCCTTGAATAAAGGCGCCCGCTAAGTAATTTTTTTCGATAGTATAAAATACGAAATAATGTACATTTATATATAAATATATTTTGCATTTGGAGTTTTTAACACTGTTCTGGATTCATAGATCAATTGCACTGATTTTTTGTCTTACAGTATAGCTTTTTAGATTCCAAAACAGTTTAATTTGGGGGGAAATTTATCAGTGACCAAATACTAGATTTAGTCCATTTGGATCTCATTGTGAAAGCTCTCTGACTTTTTCTCTTCTCACTTCGCTAGTGTTTGACTTAAAACTTTAACCTGGTAGATGTACCTGGTAATATCAATCTCCTTTTAATTTCAATTTCCTATATCTTTCTAACATCTTTTCATTTGAGAAATATTCCGTTTTATAAGCTGATTTTCTCTCTTTGTGTTTACTGCGCGTTGCGTGGAGTTTGAAGTAATTCAATTCTTGTATTTTATTCTTTCCATAATAACTGCTTATCGGGGTATTATATGGCAGTTTAATTCAGAATTGAGGGGTGTCCTCGATACACTGGGAAACCTATCCTTACTTCCGGTGATTGTGACATGTGTTTTCCAGTTTACCATTTGCTGAGAGCTTCTGAATATTTGGGAAGAGTCTCACTGCATCACATTTCTTGAGTGTGCCTTAGACTTTCATTTAATTTAGGGTTATTTAAAGTGCAGGAGAAAGTGGAGTGTTAGAATAATATTTTCCAGACTCAAGGAGGTGGAAAAAGTGTTCTTGGGGAGTAAAAGAATAGGCATCATGCTTTACTCTCAACCCCCTTATCTCAGCAGGCTGGCAGCAGAATGCAGGTGTGGGACAGTTAGCAATAATGGTCACTGAACACAGTTCAGTGGCAGATACTTGCATCTTAAATCATGGTTGTCTCAGCCTGATTCCTGACAGACCTAGGCTACAGCTCTGCTGCTTCAAGTCTTTGAAATGACTTTCAGATGTCTCAGATGAGAGAAGCCAACGAACACTGACAGAGAGGTTAAATAAGAGAATGCCCCTTTATCACAAAACCATGGGAAGCATCTGATGACTGTAGAAGAACGTGATTCTTTTTCATCACCTGATGGAAAAGAGTCACTTTCTTCATAGTACTTCAATTCATTAGCCCATGAAAATTCCGTATGTAATACTTCGCTAGAACTGCTCTTTGTAAACTAAAAGGAAAAATAAAAATTAAAACTAAACTTCTATTTATTCCCACTGTCTTGCTCAGCGATACTTGCAGAAACACAAGGTTCTGCGTACAATGTTTCTTGCACTGTTTGGTTGTAAATGCCCTGCTCTCCATTCCCCCTGTCCAAAAACAATGGCTTGTAATATGGAATGGATTAATACTCTTGAAGGTCTAGCACAAAGGAGCCTCACTCTCTCTGCTAAGTCTGTGGTATTTTTCCTCCTTGCAAAGACATGCGAGCGTGGTGAAAGCTGTGTGTCTGAATTGTCTTTGTTTGTGTGTGTCCTGCAATCCACTGGCGTCCCATCCCGGATGTAGTCCTGCCTTGTGCTTGTGTTTCCAGAATAAGCTTAGATTGCTGTAACCCTTACCAGCAGTAAGCATTGTTTGGGGAATAGGATGGTATTGCAGTGTCTCCTTCTTTCATACAGTGTTCTTCACACTGCTTTTGAAGAGATAACAAGAATGGTTTAATATAAACACCTTTTACAGTATATTAAACTATTAAAATAAAGCCATTTAAACTTACTATAATGAAATTTGATATACTGATATACAGTTGCTCTGTATGGAGTGCTTCAAAATATTTTTTATAGGCCTACTGTTGAATGGTGAAATTAAAAAACATAATATTAAAATATTTATGCAGCCTTAAACCATCTTTGAATATTAAGACTTAGCGTGATGATGGGGTTCTTAGGACTGCTGTCTCATAATTGCAGGGTTTTGATTCTGGTTTGGATGTATGTGTAGTCAAGGTTATTCTCTCCACCCAAAGCCACACTGTTAGGTGGTAAATTGACTGTTCCAGAAGGAGCAGGACTGAGGCTTTTTCATTGTTAACCTGCCCTGTTTAGAGTAACTCTGCTGCAATGCTGGCCTCAATTTACTGCAACTGGGGTAAGGCTCTGGGGTTGTATTAATAACAGTAATTAAATGTCAGAATTTTAGGTATGATACTTATTTTGACCACTTAAGTGTGTGACTTCAATTTAGTTATTAAATTTCATCATGTGTGGCTTCTAAGGAGGTTTTATGTCTACTGGGGTTCCATAGAGCATCTTTAAAGGTTGGGGTTAAGCTTTGCCTTTACAGCTGCTTTTGTTTTTAGAACAGAGTTGGCTACTTTTTCTCCAGAAAATAATATGGATATATAAGTATTTAGATTGCTTCATTCCTTAACCTCTCTCAGCAGAGGTGGAAATATAGGTGGTGGTGTGAAGTGTGAAGTGTGCATGTAGCTTCTGTGGGTTCTTGCTGAAGCTTCCTGGTTTGTCCAACATTTGCTCTGTGCTTCCAAGATACAGCAGCTCCAGAGTTTCATGGCCCTAACCAGAATAATGGATGGATGAAATTGCTGAATTTTGTTTTGCTTAATCTGATAAAAAATTAAAACAACAGCATTGCACTTCTAAATGAATATGTGTTTACAATAAATTTGGCAACACATCTACAAGAGGGCTACAGATTTATACATTATTAAAACAACCAGTAATTTAATAGTTTATACCCTTACTAATGATTAATTGCACAGTTACTAGAGTGCTGTCCGGATTTATTCACATCCCTGATTAAATAAGTACTAAAACCTCATCTAGCAGAATGAATTAAGGATTGTATGGCTTGTCTCTCTTGTAATATTCCAATTATGTTATACTGTAATCAGAGTAGCACTGTGCAGTTACTGTATACAGTATTTGTCATTAATAATTAATTCCATAAAACAAGAGGTCACAGTTATTTACACTTCTATGTATTTCTTTAAATAAAAATTGAACAAAAACAAATCTGGAATAACATTCTGCTCTTTCTATAAAGGCCACCAAAGGTTTGTCTCCCTGGGGTATAAAAGGAGGTGGAAAACATTCAGTAGTAGCATAAAACATCATGGTCAGAGAACTCCTCAAAGAGTGTTGGCAAAATGGTCATTAACCTCCACCAGTTGGGGGGTGGCTATAAAAAAGTACCACTTTGCACTATAGGGTCCATTTTCAGGAATTTAAGGCTACTGGTAAGTATCCACCCTGCGAGGAAGAGAATGCACATATATCTTGCTACCACAGGATGTGAAACAAGCGGTTTAAGAGGTGGCTGGAATTCCAAAGACAACTCCAACACGGACTGGCATCTTCAGTACACAGAATGTCAAATGTCGAAATGTCGAATACTACCATTCGATGTCGCCTGAATGGACATAGCCATTTGCTGGGCGTCAAAGAAGAAGCCTGATTTTGAAGGGGGGTCAATAAAAAGAGAAGACTCAAACTCATAAAACATCACTTGAATGACAATTGAAACAATATCATGAGATATGATGAAATGAAAAGTAAGCTTTGAGACAACACTCATGCCCGCTGTGAAATATTGTGTATTTTGGGTGGGGAGTATTATGTTTTGGGGTTGTTTTGCATCTGTGGGTCCTTGAGCCCACAGATGTTAAGATGGGGGAAATCATAAACTCCAGCACGTAACAGGACATTTTGGCCAGACACTTGTTTTTTCTGTCAAGTGCTCAAGCTTGGCTGCAAATGAACATTCCAGCAAGACAATGATCCAAAGCACACATACAGATTGACACAAAAATGATTAACTACACACAAAATAAATGTGCTTCACTGTCCATCTCAATCACTAGACCTCTACTTAATTGAACTTTTGTGATCGTAACTCAAAACAGCAGTTCACTAACGGAAACCAACCAGTCTGAAGGACTTCTGCGTTCTGATTCTGAGTGGAGGAATGTTCATAAATTTCCCCTGTGAGGTTCCAGAACCTCATAGCACACTACACGAGGCATCCAGTCAGTGTAATCCCTTCCAGAGGAGGATGTATGGAATACTGCCTGCAGCACTGTGAATAAATGTGACCCTGAACTGTAATTATTTGTGACAAATACATCTCTGAGCAATACTATTAAGATTATTGTATAACACATTTAGAATTATTTAAGCAAGAAACTTTCCCCACTCTGTAAATCTTCCCGTTATTTGACGTTTAAGGCTCCTGTTTCATCAGAAGAACAGCCTGAATAAATTTTTAGGGAACTGTATTTGCTTTATAACTACATAATTAATGACTTCTTTACTGTTAACAACTGTTTATTTTGCACGGAAAGCATATGACTTACACCTCCGACCTCCAAAAGTACTACCTAAAATTGTTATTGTGCTATTAGAGAAAGAAAATGGTTTTGGACTAATTAATTCAAGTGCAAATTTATAGCTTCATTAATGCTTCAGTCACTTGTGTGATCATGTATCATTATGTATCATCAAATTATGTTACAATTTCCAGCATTTCATTGTAGAATATACTGAAGCTTTTTATTTTAAAACACAAGAATCAGGCATAGGGGTGCAGTGGATGGCATTGCTGGTTCGCAGAGCTGGGACCCTGAGTTTCGTTCTTGACCAGGAAGACCTGGGGTGGGATCTGCGTGGAGTTTGCATGTTCTCCCCATGTTCGCACAGGTTTCCTCCCACAGTCCAAAAACATGCTAATTGGCTTTTGGGAAAATAGGCCTTGTTTTGAGGGAATGTGTGTCTGTGTCTGCCCTGCAATGGATTTTTGTTCTGTTCAAGGGTGTTTCCCACCCTATGCCTCTTGCTTGCTATTACTCCGGCTACCTAGCCACCCTAAATTGGATGAAACAATTAAAAATCATGAGATGGATGGATAGTGCAGCGATTGTACTAGTCTTTTCCTGGGAATGACAAAAATATCACTAACCACTTCAACTGAAATGAGGGCTAATTGTTTTTGCAAATGGATAGAATCTGAAACACTTTCTTAAGGTCACTATTTACAGGGTGATTATCCAGCTAATTATATATTTCAAATTCAGGATTGAACACATAAAATTCAGGACAATTTTATAGTTTTACTTTGTTGCTTAGGACAAATGTAAGAAAAATGCATTGACAATCCTAGTTACCTGGACATCAGGTAACACCATTTTATATTGTCAGTGACTTCACGTTTAGAAATAAAGACAGACACTCATACAAGCAAAAAAATACAATTATCTCAACATTCAATCTACCTTCATCTCTGATTCCGGACAGAACGTTTTTTGAGATTTTGTGGTATCCTAGCAACATTTTATAGTTAAGGTAGAAACAAAGAAATAGATTAAACACAGTTCTTAACTGTGAATTAAGCAGAACACGTAGAAGCAGTTCTTACCAAATTAAGTGAGGTGAGTCAGTAACCAGACATGGTTAGATATAGACGTATAGTATCAATGTCTATGAATACAGGCCCTGGTGAAGAAGTCCAGTCTCGGCTGGCAAACAGTAAGTTGGGTTGCTTTTCACTAATGTTAGATAACATGGTACTAATAGTACAGTACATTGAGTAAATACACACTCATTACAGTAAATCTGAAGTGTAATTTATGTACCTGCATTTTTAGTTTTTTTGTAACACTGCATCAAAAGTATATGGTGGCTACCTCTGGACACACAGTCATACCTTTTCTGTGTGGCTCACAGGTGCAGTCCTGGATATAACGATGATCTCCAATTCTGAGGCCCTCTCTGCTAAAGACTTCTTCATGACCTGTGTGTCGGGGAAGCGGGACTCTCTGAACCTGCAGATCAGGAAGGATAACAACATCATCAAGTTGGCAAATCAGCCCCGTTTCAGTGTGACCAGAACCAATGACCAGGAGGTTAGAGCCACTGGATTCAGACAAATTGAGTACCAGGGCATCTTTTACTGCACTGGCACCGGGGACTCAGAGCATACAGAAGTGATGCTCATCAATAACTACGGAGGTACAGACTTTTTCTGCTGACTTATTATATAATGGAAACAGATCAATTTATGGCAATGCAATGTATGAATTGATAATTCTAATCAGCTTTCTTTTCCGTATATGGTCTGAACAGACTAAATTGTTGTTGTGCTAGTCATATTTTATATGTGATAATAAGGCTTCCTGCTTTACCTTACTGAGATACAGAATATGTAAGATTTGAAGTGTACGGTAGAATATTTTATATTTTCTTCATAAAAGTAAAAATAAACATTTCCCAGTCTTTGGCAAAACGCAGACTCCTCCTGAACAGGACACTAGTCTCTTATAGGTTAACACCCTGTTAACGCCAATACCCACTGAATCCAGCTCAAAGCAGCAACAGCAGTTTTTGCACTGAAGACTTGAACTCAATAGACACTACAGTTTTGCGTCCTTGTAGCTTAATCTCATTAGATCTCTCAGAAACTATGCAACGCAGGGTTTAGTATTGTGTGGGAGACCTTCAAGGACATACACGTTACTACTGTAAGTGGCATTAGTGGACCAGTAGGTGACACTCTGTTCTCTAGAACAATGCCCAAGTATGATGATCGGGGCCACTCCACGGTATAAGGTGGTTGGGATACTAGGAGATGTTCACGCTGTTGTTCAAATTAAATTCTACTTTAGGCTTGCACAATCTGGCCTCCCGAAGTTTCCCCTTAATTCAGTTAGTGAAAAATATCTCATGTGTCCACCTAAAGAGCTGTTCAGTATGCTAGTGTGTAGCTAAATCTAAATGCTTTGCAAACTTTTGGGTTAAAAACCATTGTATAAGTGCAAGTAATCATTACTGTGGTAACAGCTCCAGAATCATAACCATTATTCCGTGCTGCCGGCTGAAATAAATTTTGTTTACATTATTAAAAGAAAATAGGCAGAAGCCATAACTGTCTTTTACTCATGTTTAATTTTAGGAAATTTGGATTGCCTTACAGGTATCAGGTACAAGTATCTGATGTCTTCTTATTTCTAACTTCTCTTGTTTTGTGCATTTCAATCCAGCACAATTCATACCAAAAGGCCTCACAATTACTGTGAATAAAGATGAGACAGTGCAGCTGCCTGTGAAGGCTGTCATCGACCGTAAAACAGACATCATGTGGAAATTTAATGGTAAGAAAGGTGGAGAGATGTTAAAGAACTGTTAACTGGTTTCTTGCATTATTATGTAAACAAGGGTGTTCATGGAGTAAACATATATTTCCCTTTTCTACCAGGAAATCTACTTAATTTCATACAGAGGAGCAGGAATCCAATACAAAATACATGTTTAATTTTAAGTATCTTGCAAACTGTACTTGATCCCACCAGGTGGCAATATAATCAAAACAAAAAGTCTGAACAGAGTACTGAAAGTATACAACGCACATGAACTGTGTCAGACCAAGTGCTTGTAAAGAACTGGATGCAAGAAGTTGAGAACCCCGCGATTTATCTTTTAATTTTTTAATATGCTCTTTGCAGGAAATTACTACCATATAACACACTCAGCAGACATCACCAATGGTACAGCAGTTCTCAAATTGGATGAAGTGAAACTGAGCGATAGTGGGGTCTATAGTGCCTGCTATATGGGAGACAGCCCACTCTCCAGTGTCTATTTCAGACTCATTGTCAGAGGTAAAGTTGTGATTTTGCTTTGCCTGTTTTCCCACATGCAGAAATTTACTTTGTGCTTCTTTTATACTGTAATATAACAGCAGATGATTATGAGTCATGACACTCCTCAGTCACTGGCGTCTCTACAATCCTCCAGGAGAATCAGTGGTCTCCTTACTTTTTTTTATTCCATACAAGTATTCAGTCACTTATTTGTAGGAATAATTGGCTTAATTTGTGCTTGAAGAGATAAAAAGCCTAAAGAAGACTGGGGAGCTTCAAAATCAGGAGCAGAGGCAATGTACTAATGTACTTACATCACCCTGAGTGTGAAAAAATAACTGGATATAAATTTAAATATAAATAGTCTGGAAGCAGACTATTTCAGCCACACTGACATGTCTTTTGTTGAACATCAGCTTGTGCAGAGAATAAGTGGGGCCCTGAATGTGACCAGGACTGTCCTGAGTGTCTAAATGGGGGTATCTGTCATGACAAGGAAGGCGACTGCATCTGTCCTCCAGGATTTATGGGGACACGCTGTGAGACAGGTAGGCACAGAGGCAATGCCTTATTATTCCAAGAGACAAGTCTATGTGTCAGCTCATCAAAAACAACCAACTGGATACTCTCTAACACTAGGCTGGTCTCATTACAAAGCTGTGTTCTAGGGCTTTTTCAGCAGTGATCCTCTTTATTGCAGATTTATGCTGAGCTACTTTATTTCCTGTCATTTTTAAGCAATTCCATTCACACTGGAAATTAAACATCACCCTATTAGGCTGCAGGCACTGCTGAGCAGCGCTGAAGCAAACTGTCAGGCCGAAACCCAACCACAGGACTTTGTGCGTCTCCGAAGGACTCCAGAGAGCCGAGGAGGCATCTATGCTGAGGCGACTCAGAGGAGACAGACAAGCAGGTGGCTGTCAGTAATAGGAATGATTTGTCCACACCAGACCACCAGTGCTTGTGGTAGACTAGAGGCACGTAGAGCTAGTGCTATTATGGCTCTAGGGAGCTCAATGTCAGAGCGTCTGTCTAGCAGAGAAACAAGCTTTAAATAGACAGATCAATCAGGAGCTTGATTGTTAGATTGGCTGACTGATTGATAAATCAAAGGTATAGAGAAGTGGCCCCAGTGTGTTCTCACGGGGTCTGAGGACAGGCAAGTGACAGTGGGAATGTCCTATGTTGCTGTGAGAACTGCTCCCAGCCCAGGTGTGACACATCCTTGTTGTTTGAGCACCTTTTCGACTAGACACAGTCCCAGATATCAGTATGTATGTCCATCATCGACAGCAATGACCTCCTCACATTGAACTAATGGCAGATCTAATCTGTAATATGAGGCTGCTTTCGAAGTACATGAACTTGACAAGTGATGCTCCAGAAGTACTAAATAGGAAATAAATGTTGAATCTGATAGTGTGATGGTTATTTCAGATCTTTATTTCCCCATTACTGGAGTATAATGTGTAATAAAACAGTAATGTTTTAAAAACACACTTGTTTCCTGACTTCATCCTCAAAGTCCTTGAGTCTACAACTTCCACAGAACAAATATTATCACAAAATTAAAATGTGCATTTATAGTAACTAAATAAAAATTGAATTTTTAATCTTTGACTTACTGCAAACTGACCTCCCTCAGACTCGGTCTCCTGGGATCCAAGCTGATGAGATGAAATACAGAAGAAAGGCTATTTGCCATGTCCTTAGCTAACGTAAAAAGCAATTAAAAAACACTACATGCACTTCACAGCTAGCATAACCAAAATACAATATGGTTTTCTGTTTCATTTCCGATGGGGGGAATGATTTGGTGATTGAAAATTACTTTCTTTACGGTTTTCCACTTTTCTTGTTAATCTGCCCTGTCCTACCTGTTCGTACCCTAGCCTGCCGTGAGGGAAGGTATGGGCGAAACTGTCAGCAGGCGTGCAATGCAGAGAGGGGATGCAAGGGCCTGACCTTCTGCCAGCCAGACCCCTACGGCTGCTCCTGTGCCAGTGGGTGGCAGGGTCCAAAGTGTAACACAGGTGGGTGGCCTTGGAGGACATGTCACAGCTCTGCAACATGATAAAAACATCCTTTACCTTCACGTAAGCCAAAGGAGATACATTACATTGGATGAGATCACTCATATCTTGCATAGGCAGTTTCCATTGTACAAGACCTGATGATGATCCACTTGCGGGAAGTTGGTTGAGTATTATCAGATTGGGTCTTATTTTAGTATATGGAGGTCCTGTATAAGGATTTTCTCCTAAACACATCTGGTTTTGCCTTGCAGCCTGTGATGAGGACTACTATGGCGCTGGCTGTCAGCTGAGATGCAACTGCAAGAATGGAGGGACCTGCAATCGATTCAGTGGCTGCCAGTGTCCCACAGGGTGGCGAGGGCAACATTGTGACAAGTCAGGTGAAGATCGCCCCATGTTCTCTTTGGAGGTCTACCTGTTGAAGAGCAACAAAGTGGATGGTTATTAAAATGATCATTAAAAAAAATATGGAGGAATGGTCATTTTCATTTTAAAAGAATGTAATGTGAGAATTTGGGGAATTTAATCCTATTAGCTGTTAAAACCTTTCTTTTGCATGAAGCTCTTTTCTTCATAAAGCTGGTCTCAAAATGACTCCAGATGAAACAAAGATGTTTTTGTCTGTTTGTGATTTATGTCAGATCACGCACCCCAGATTTTGGACCTTATGAGCAACTTGGATTGGAACATGAACTCCAGTCCAAAGATCACCTGCTCAGCCACTGGGAACCCCCTGCCAAGCCACAGCAGCATTGAGCTACGTAAGCTGGATGGCACCATCCTGAAGGTGAGGGTAGGAACGGCACCAAGATCCCAGGGAATTAAAAAATCTTAGCATTTCACCTTGGAAGTATTCTGAAATGTTAATCCAGGGACGTGCTTCAGGACACAAGTGGAAACGAAGCAGGAGAGAATTTTCACTAAAATTAGAAAATGCTTCTTTACACAAAGGGTTGTTGGTGCCTAGAACATACTGCACGACAGTGTTGTTAGAGCTAATTTCCTGGGATCCTTTAAGAAAGGTGTGGATAAAATCTTATGATCTGTAAGCTACTGGCAACCAAATGAGGGAGAATGGATAAACAGCCTTGTGTCATTTGTAATAATTAGTGATGTATTATAAATGTTGATCCAAGACATCTTACATACAAAAATTTGAATGGTTCAACGTAAGTTAATGAACTGAGAGTAGCAATACCACTTTATAGAAGGATCTCATCAGAATTCAGAAGCTAGGATCACTAGTACCTATTGAGTACTAGAATCGGAAACATTTAGGAAATACAGATTGCTGCTGCGTGTAGTGTTGCTGGACCAGTAGGTGTCCCTGTTCATTTTTATTTAAATAAGAGACCTTAAATGGATAAGTGTTTGCAAACCTGTGCCCAGGGCAAAACAAAGAAGTCTTTTTTTTTCCTGCAACCAAGGCCACCCGCACCACTATGGATTCTGACAAGAGCACAGCGCTCTTTGAGATTCCTCGGCTCAGTAAGGACCATGGGGGGCTCTGGGAGTGTCGAGTCTCCACAAACGGGGGCCAGGACTCCCGCAAGTTCAACCTGACCGTGAAAGGTGAGACTGTAGGATATTTCCCTTGAAGGTTTGAGTGGATCTTGTTGGGGAATTTGTGGAACTTTGTGAAACACTCCCACCTGAAGAGCCATTTGTCATTTAACATGTTTCAGGCTCTGCAGTGCCTTACAGGACCCCTAGTTTCTGTTGCAGGACCAGTAATGATGACATCACCTCAAATCTGCAAAACACTTCATAAATCACAGGCGTTGCTGTTTGGTTAGAGAGATCCCTGGCTGAATAATCCCAACCCTGCAGCGTGCCAATTGCACATTGCCACTGGGGAATCCCAGCTACAGTCAGCTCATTGACAAGTCCCAGACTCTAATGGATGATGTAGGACCGTAGTACCCTGCCTGCACTCTGAGTGAGCCGCTCAAGAGCCAGTTACAACACTCTTGCCTCATCTTTTCTGAAATTCTGCAAATCGTTTCCCAAACCATTTTTAAGGATTTAAACTGCTTTTTGATTCTCATTTTCCTTAAGTGAAAAATGTAAACTCCTTTGTAAAAATATGTGAGGTTGATGCATGTGACACATGATAAGAAAAAATGTGATTTTTGTCAGAGCCACCCTGCCCTTTGACTCCACCAAAACTTCTGGAGAGGAGAAGCAAACAGCTGATTCTGCAGCCTGTGGATGCCTTCAAAGGAGATGGTCCTATCATTTCCACCAAGATCCTTTACAAACCAATGGAAAGTGAGGCCCTCTGGTCCTCCATCATTGGTGAGTGAGTTACCAGGTTAAGAGTCTTACTGCCAAAGATTGAGACACATCTCAATTATACTTGATGGAAATTGGAAAGTGAATGCTTCAAAAAAGAAGCATTATATCTGGAAACTGTATATCCCTTCTCTAATATACAGTTTCTGAGTCTTAAATGCAGTTATGCAGCCTAGGCTATCATAACGTTCTGTACGTTGGGAAATAAAATAGAAGTTAATTCAGATGGATGGTGACCTTTTCAGAATCTAATAGATCAGGGTTAGTAATTTCCTGGAATTTTACATCCATGACATTATATGGGTTTTGGATGAGTACAGATTGAGGCAAAATGCTACGAAGGAATCAATTGCAAATTCAAGCCTAAAGGTGAGTGAGGATTTTAAAGTCAGGAAGGCTGTTGATTGTTCATTTGCACAAGACATTCAGCTATTAATGATCTTAACCCAATCCATCTCTTAGTTGAAAGCCGTGAGCCCATCACATTGATGAACCTGAAGCCCTCCACCAGATATCAAGTTCGAGTCCAGCTTACTCGTCCTGGGGAGCAAGGTGAGGGCACTGAAGGACCTGAGGCCATTGTGGAAACGGACTGTCCAGGTAAATGCCTGCATTAACTCTTTGTCTCTTGTTTGGATGCATGGATGGATGGAGTCAGACCTCAGAGTGACTCAATGATGCAATGTCTGCAAATATCTCCCTGCTTTTTTTCTGTTTGGTTTCTAGAGTGGGCCATCATATAAAATTCCATCCCTCTTGGCTGTGTTTAGGCACAAGAGGAAAAGTAGTGGCCAGAGCTTCCCAAACCTGGTTTTGGCCACCCCAGTTTCTCTTTGAAAAACCTTGACAGTTTCAACTTTTTGACAAGTATTTAGAGGGCCTTAAAATCACCAATGGTTGCAAGCTGCAAAAGGTTGGAATAATGCAATTGCCACAGCTAATTGTTTTCAGTTCAGGGTAGGCTTACATTACAGTTCTCAGCTAGAATGAGAACCAGAAGACACTGGCGTTCCATGGCCAGGTGTGGGAAAGCCCAGGAATCGTGCCTGACTGAGTGTTCTGTGTCATCAGAGCCCACGCTGAGCCCGGTGATTGATTTCATCTCGGTGGAAGGTCGTAACGTGACAGTGCGGTGGGTTTTGCCTGGGAACCCCGGTATGGCCAGTGGCTATTTAGCGATACTCTACGGACCCTCCCAGGAGAAGCTGTGGCAAGAGACCACCTCGCTCAATGTGCTCTCCACCACATTCCACAACCTGGAGTACCACCGCGACTACCAAGTGGTTGTCACGCTGGTCAACTGTGGCAGTTGGGGGCCGCCTTCCAAGCCGTTACCCTTCCGAGTCAACAGCCAGGGTAATTGTCCCTTTTTAGAGAAGGTCTCAATTCCTCATGCACCCAAACATAGGTACAGGTCTACACAAACAGGTGTGAAGACCGCGGAGATGTTTCAAACTGTTTTGTTTTCTACTTTGTGCACTGTAACACCTGAACATACTGGATGAGCCCCTAAAACTCTGGCGGAGATAGTGCTTTCTGAAAAATAGATTATTTTCTTAATAATGCAACCGAGTTATCAAAAACCAATGTGATGAAAGTAGAGCGAATGAAACTCCAAAATGTATCAAACAATAAAAAACCTGCACAGAAGCTGTTCAGCCTAGTTGCTTCAGCTATCAGAAAATCATGTGATTGGGTGATATGATAACTCAGGGAGCTGGTTTGTCATCTCTGCAGGACCATCCTCCCCAAGAAATGTCCAGGCGGAAATCCTCCCCGCCAACACTGTCCGGCTGAAGTGGGAGCCCCCCCTGGATCCCAACGGTGGCATTGTCAAGTACATCATCGAGTATCAGCTGGCGGGTAAGAGCCAGTGGGTGGACATCGACGATGGCAACAAGACCACCCAGGACATCAGAGCTCTCAATGGCAGTACCCTCTACCAGTTCCGGGTCCGCGCTGTCTCCAAGGTCCCGGGTCAGTGGAGCAAATTTGTCAGTGTCTGGACACAGGGGGATGGTAAGTGTTTTATACTGGAGACTGGGTTAACACAAGAGGCTGGAGATGGGCAGAGAGAACTGTTCGTGGCAGATCTGAGTGGAAACTGTTGCAGTTCCTTTATATGCTGTATATTAGTTCAGTTAAGAGTTAATATATATATAGTGATACTTATAAATCTAAAAACTGCATGAAACTTGCTCTTAACTACTGTGATCCGTTAGAGAACAGACTGTTTCAGTAAATTATTTTTTTTGTTTTCCTCTCATCAAATAACAGAACCTCCCTGTATAAAGGCTATCTCAATTGCCTGTTTGAGGATAAAGTATTAAAGTTTTTCATACGGAGATTATTTTTTCAAAAGAGACAGAGGACAGTACTATTAGACCAGGCTATGTGCAGTTTATACAGAAATAATTTAGCAAACAGGTTTTTTTTTTACATTAGCCCCAGTGGAACCAGACTACCTCTGTTGGTAGAGTATGAGACTCATAATCTCAGGGTAGTAGGTTCGTGTCTCACATTGGATGCCAGGTCCTCCATTTTGGAGGTTGGGCACAAGGCTAACAATCCTGTTCCATAAAAAGCTACAGTCAATGTTACGGAAACAGCAACAGGATGTTGTTGCCCTTATATATGTAACGGGCAAACATCCATCCATCCAATGGAACCAAATCAGAGAATCTGTTGGACACTTTGTTCGCAGTGGTGATCTCTGTCTGACTACCTGCTCCTGTCTTCACAGGTCCGCCCAGTTTCACCCCAACGACACAGGAAGTTGGAGCTCGGCCAGTGGTGGAAGGTTACCAGCTGCTCCTGGCTGTGGTGGGCTCGGTGTCCGTCACTTGCATGACAATTCTTCTGGCCTTACTGGGGCTCTTCTGCATCCGCAAGAACCTCTTACATCGGCGCAGGACCTTCACCTATCAGTCAGGGTCGGTAAGTGTCACTTAAGCTTTCCAGACCACACGAGGGGAAAGAAGGGACAGGTAGATTCGTCAGACCTGCTACAATCTCACTGTACTGTGAATTTCACACTTCACAATGGCACTTCCTTGTTAAAAGTTTTATTCTTAACACTCTGCATTGTGAACTGATTTATTCTACTTTCCGTTATGGTGTTCAGTTTAAAATTTTGACATGGTGTACAAACGTATAGAACCACAATTTTGATTATTACTGCAGAATAATATAAGTATTATTTGCTGTACTAGAACATGAAAGAGCATGATTTCTAAACTAGATCCTCATATCCAACGCTGAAGTACTTAGGAACATTTTCCGCTTTCCTAGATTGTGCACATTCTTCTTACAGCTGCACTCACCGGCTTTGAAACACGACAGAGCAACCTGGATGCCAGTGTGTAACCCTCTTTGAGATATCTGGTTTTTCACCACACAGGGCGAGGAGACTATCCTCCAGTTTAATTCGGGAACCCTGACGCTAACCCGCAGACCCAAGCCACAACCAGAACCCTTGTCATATCCCATCTTAGAGTGGGAGGACATCAAATTTGAGGATGTCATTGGGGAGGGCAACTTCGGACAGGTCATAAAGGCCATGGTCAAAAAGGATGGTAACAAAATGAGTGCTGCGGTCAAGATGCTGAAAGGTCAGTATGTAGGAAAATCTAAACATTTTCATTGCTGCTTTTGTCTTTGCGCAACATAAGTCCAGAATCTTGTATTTTTTGAAAGAGCCAGGTGTAATAAAAATACTGAACTGAAATTGTATTTTGCTGTTTCCACCATTTCCTTATCTCTGCATACTTTTACACCCCCCACCAACAGAATTTGCCTCTGAAAATGACCACAGGGACTTTGCTGGAGAGCTGGAGGTTCTTTGTAAGCTGGGTCACCACCCTAACATCATCAACCTGATAGGAGCCTGTGAAAACAGAGGTGAGTTCGGCTACCTGAGGTCTAAACTGCCACCAAGCAGACGAGGTGCGTGCTGCCACTGCATTTTCTTACATATTCATATCACTGCACAGCATCAGAAATGAAATGATAGGCGGGTGAAGCACAGAGATGATTACATGATGCTTATCCCTCTGAAAAACAAAAACCAAAAATAGAATATATTAAACACCCATCCAGTTCCTAACCATATAGTGTTGTGGGGGAGGAAGACATAAAGCAATATATCCCCTGGACAAGATGCCAGTCCATTACAAGAAACAAACAGACACAAACCAGATACATACACACAGTCACATCAGGACCAAATTTCCGACAAGCCATTTAACCTAGTAGTAGGTTTTTGGACTGTGGGAGCAAACTGGAGCACCCAGGGGAAAGCCATACAAACACAGGGAGAACATACAAACTCCACCCAGATGTGGAGTTGAACCCAGGGCTAGGATAATCACTGCACCACCAAGACACTACGTATTAAACATGATATCTTATAAGCTAAATATTTTCCATTTGGTCTGTGGTATATATTAGTACCACGCCTTGCAATATCCTCTTGCTTTAAAAAAACATTTGGAGGAACTATCAAAGTATTCTTACATGTATTGTCAATTGAGCACAAATAAGTAGGAATCCTCAGTGTGAAACTTGGAAGATCTGAAAAACATCAACCTATTTTTCTTTTCTTCAAAAGACACCGTACATGTTAATACGATAAGTATCTTGTTTCTCTTTTAAAAGATCTCTTTTTAAAAGATAACACTTTTTTTAAAGATGTGCTAATACATTCTGTTTATCTAATGAAAAAATATTTAGTAAGACAGAATGAACAAACTAAGATTGGGAGATTAGAGAGTTTAGAGAATGCTCTAAAAAATTAAAAATAAAAAGGTTATTTTTCTATTGATTTTTAAATCTGCAGTAGCCAGTGTGTCTTATCTAGTGACAAGTGTCATGCTGAAATGGCTATGTGTCTTGAACTGATTAGGTTAAAACACCAAAGTTTTAAAAGTAGAAAGTAAAAGACGTATTGTGACTCTTTTGCAAAACAGCCAGCTGAAACACACTTTTCTCTCTTATTGTTTTTGCATCACCTTTTTACCTTAAAACAAGCATTAAATAGTCATCTAATAAGCAAACATTTTATGTTATGACACTTTAAAACCCTTTGGGTGTTTTTGCAGTATACAGTATATACTGTATACCCACACCTGAAGAAGGCTCAACGGCCAAAACATTGTGTTTTCTTTCTGCTCTTTTCAGCATGGAATAAACCTATTACTTGTTCCTTTGCAGTATATGTATATATTTCCAAATCAGCTTTCTTTTGCCAAAACATGTTATTGTGCATCTTACACAATTTCCAGGGAAGCAGCGTCAACTAAAAATTGTTTCAGTCATTTGCAAATAACACCTCAACTGAAAAAGATTCCCAAAAGAGGTCACAACTTACAGTTTTTCAAAAAAGACTCCCAAAGTTCTTTAAGACATGAAAACGTTACCAAAAACGCTTAGCTCCCAGCCCATTTTGGTATACTTTCCAAAGTGTTGAGGTGTTTTACTGCTTTGCTGATTGACTACTTCATCCCCAGGGTACCTGTACATTGCGATAGAATACGCCCCCTATGGGAACTTGCTGGACTTCCTGAGGAAGAGCAGGGTCCTGGAGACAGACCCTGCCTTTGCCAAAGAGCATGGCACCGCCTCCACCCTCACCTCCCAGCAGCTCCTGCAGTTTGCTGTCGACGTGGCAACCGGCATGCACTACCTCAGCGAGAAGCAGGTCAATACTGCACACACTCATGCTTGTAAACTTGAGTTTTGTGTCTTACACCACAATATATGCGTAGCACTTTAAAATGTAAATATAATGTGGATTCAATTAACAACAGAGTAGAGAAAATTCTTGGCACATAAGAAAGGATAATCATTTAGTCCACTGGTTCTTGTTATGTTTGTGTACACTAAGTGATTCTATCAGCATCAGACCAAGACTTGACATGTTAGAGATTCACTGAATCAAGCTGTTTTCATAAATCTCATAATAATAATAATAATAATAATAATAATAATAATAATAATAATAATAATCAGCAGCATAGGTACTTTTTTTGAATATGTAATTTTAGCATAATCTGTATAACTTAATTAAAGTTTCATCAATACAGGAAAAATATCAGATGTATTCTGATATTATATCAATTAGCATATAAATTATATACAAATATAATTTATAATATAAAGACAAGCATAATTATACAAATTTAGAAATGATTTGTATTAAACTAGTAAACATTAAAATTATATTATATGTGTTGTTGTTGTTTTTTATCCTGACTCTCTGCTTTCTACAGTTCATTCACAGGGATCTAGCAGCAAGGAATGTCCTTGTAGGTGAAAATCTGACAGCTAAAATTGCAGACTTTGGACTATCCAGAGGGGAGGAAGTTTACGTGAAGAAGACCATGGTGAGTATTTTGACTCTCGTTGGATGGGAGTACCAGAGCAATAGAACTGAAAGAGCTGGTGATGTACAGTACAGGCCAGACATGCATAATCAGGCACTGGCTGAAGCCAGTGAGCTACCAGACTGAGTGGGGAACCCACAGGGGCTCTTTTCATGCACCACAAAACCTCTAGAGAAAAGAGATGTGAAACCAGATTATGCTCACAAAGCAAAGAAAAAACAAGAACTGATTATTATTATTATTATTCAGAAGAAAATGATATAAAATAGGGTTAAGTTGTTGGATTGAATGACCGATCACTTTTCTCCAAATAGCATTCACAGTTTGGTCTTTGTTTTGTGTCCTGTGGTTTTTTCACAGATGTAAGCCATGCTACCCTGTGGTTTCTGTGCCTTTTATAACAATGAGACAAGGTGTCTTGTGGTTTGAGCAGACTAGCAACTGTGTTACCTGCTTGTCTGGACAGTTTTCACAGGTGTCTGCTCACATGACCAGACTAAAAAGAGCTTTCTTACATTGTAAAAATGTAACTGATTATGTTCTTACATAGTGTATTACATTACATTTAAAGTTATTAATTGATAACATTTTAAACGTACAAAACATTCTGTATGAAACACAGATACTTCACCTGATTAATTATGTAATTGTGATCAAAAACAATTTAACAATTAAAGAAGCCAGCAGCCATATTACCCTACTGCTCTAAACTGGCTATCCCCTGAAGCTAAGCAGGGTTGAGCCTGGTCAGTATCTGGATGAGAGACCTCCTGGGAAGCTATGGTTGCAGCTGGGATTGGTGTTAGTGGGACCAGTGGGGGGCGCTCACCCTGTGATCTGTGTGGGTCCTAATGCCCCGGTATAGTGGCGGGGACACTATACTGTAGTGGGAGCTGTCTTTCGGATGAGACATTAAACTGAGGTCCTGACTCTCAGGGGTCATTAAAGATCTTCGGGTATTTCTCGATAAGAGTGTGTCCGGGCCAAATTTTTCCACTCGGCCTTTACCGTGGCCTCCAAATTGTCCCCATGTATGATTGGCCCTGTGATGGACTGTCGCCCCATCCAGGGTGTACCTGCCTTGAGCTCGTTGCTTGTCGGGTAAGCTCTGGCTTCCCGCGACACCGTATGGTATAAAGCGGTTTGGTGAATGACATGACAATTTAAAGGACAGTTTGTGCCAAAGCATTACAATTACATGGATTTCAAAGGCACAGCATTTGAATAATTTCCATAAAGTCACTGGGTGTATACAACATCATTTATCTGCCATTGCCCTAACATGTATCATTTAAGAGTGAACTGTAACACATAAAAGTAATTAGACTGTTAGGTTTAATTGAATTCAAAGTAAACCTATAATCTGAAATACATTGGCCAAGAAAAAAACATAAAGGAAACCCATAAACTGGAAGCACATGAATTCAGGTTGTGTCACAATCATTACTCATCAATCATTAATCATCAGTCAGAAGTGTAACAAAACACATGCTTTTCTGAATTAGAAAATGTAATAGGTTACACCAGTATAAGAAATAAAGAACTGTTTTTAATAGTTGACAATGGAAGCTATAATACCTGTTACATTGTTTTCCAGGGTAGATTACCAGTACGATGGATGGCAATTGAGTCATTAAACTACAGTGTCTACACAACAAAGAGTGATGTGTAAGTACTTCTGTGAATGTGAGGGTTCATCAGTGACTCTGAATTACTGGCTAAACACCAGTTTTTTCAAATCAAAGAGAAATCTGTATGTATTCAAAAATAAACCAAAGCATCTTATATGATGAATATAAGTGAACATCAAAGATTGTAGATTGGAAGCAGCATGTTTAAAATTAGATCTTATTTGATTACTTTATTGTAACAACGTACAAATAATGTTGCGAAACGGAAAGTGTGTTCTCCTTTCATACTAATTTAGCATTTATTATAGTGTTTCAAAATGTTGCGAAATGGAAAGTGTGTTCTCCTTTCATACTAATTTAGCATTTATTATAGTGTTTCAAAATGCATTCATATTCAAAGTATGGTATTGCTCAGATATAGGGAAATATGTATGAGAGCAAAGAAAACCAATATTGTGTGGCTTTTCTTCTCTTTTTTAATGTTGGTCATAGATTTATCTCTATTTAAGATCCTAATGCGAACTTATATAAACAACAGTTGCAGCCCCAGAACATTTCTTTAATCAGGTGGACAATCTGTAATCTGGTCACTGTGATCTAAGTATCACAAACTAGTAGTGAGCCTAAGCTGAATCTGACTGTGTTGTTTATAGTCCTGGCAACTCAGAGACTCGAAGATATTAAATCTCCTCACGCAAAACACCCTTGTGGGCCTCCTGCTGTCTCTACTGATAAATGTCTGCTGAAAGACAGATAACATAAACCAGGAAGCAGGCAAAAAGTGACTGCCGCAGCCAGCTAGTTGAGAAGAAGGTGCTATTTATACTTGTAACTTTCTGTTCTAAAACATTAAAAACAACGGAAGTGGAAAACACTCCCAGAGACTAGACTTGCACTTCTTTATCTTTTTGGGCAAAATAAACCCCTCTTGTTTACTTGTCTGGCCACTGAATCCATAAAGGTTGTCTTGTACAGCACATGACTAAAGTTTTCTATTTAAAGACTAATATTATCTTTTCTGCCAAAAGCAAAAAAAAGACAAATTTAGTCACCCAAAAACTATTTTATGGTCAAATCAGATGGCTATAATAGATATATTATATTGTGGTTCCTTTATTTGCTGTATATAACCAGCAACCTTTAGCATCAGATGACACAGTAGCTAGCCAGTGCTCAATAAGTGATTTTCGGAAGAAACTAGAGCATCAAAGTCAGAAAACGTTAAAACTGTGACATAGAAATATTTAGCCTTCTAGGATTTTAGATCTCTGAGATGTTGTACCACCATAAAACAATAAAACAGAAAGCAGTTCACTTAGTAATGAAATCTGCTTGTCATGTGTACAAAGTATTAATTAAATTAAGTAATCACTGGCAGTATGTAATATTTTGTAATCCTCTCTTCAGCTGGTCTTTTGGAGTGCTTCTATGGGAGATTGTCAGTTTAGGTAAGTCATTTCTTCGTTTCTCTCCAAAAATAATAAAATAGCACTTATGAACTTGCAATAATTGAAATACACACAGCAATTATAATTAACAGCAAGTGAAAGCATTATCCTTCAACTTAAAAAAAAGTTGACCCTATCCTATCCTATCCTTCAACAGGTGCTATGTCAAATAGAAACCACGTAAGGTCATCTCTAATCCTCACACTATTGTGTTTTCTAAACATGCATTAACATATTTTTTATCAAGGAAAATGAATGCTGAAATTAAAGTCTAAACCAACTATACTGTGTGTGGAAGGCAATTTCTTTTTTTTTAACTGGGAACCTGAAAATGCTAAATTAATTTTGAAATGTTTAATATCAACTGTTTGGTGAGTGGATCACATATGGGAAAAGATCCTGAATTTTGTATATAGCGAGAAGTTTAGAACCAGGGATGTGTTTTCTAACAGCCACTTTCGAAAAGGTTGTACATTTCCATAGAAAAAATATATGCCATCAAGTCAGATGAAACTTTTAGTAAAAAACTTTTAGTTAATTCCCTCAAAACCCACCAACTTCTCTTGAAATTATACTTCTCTGTTTCTGTCACAACAGCACTTTTGGTGTATCTGAGTGTTCTATCACAACTTGGGTATTGTTCAAGCAGTAAATTCAGTGAAAGGGCCTCATCTGAGAATTCGTGAATAAAGGGAACCAGTACTAATTTTTATAGCTGTGCTAAACAAAGTGAAACTATTCAATATGTACAACTAGTTCCAAATTTAGTCTTACCCTTGATACAATAGACAGTACATTTAGTACCTCCTGCATCAATAAATACAAATATTAAAGCTTCATTGGCTGTATGGAATATTGCAATATGACATTTTCCAAACCTATTGTTTCTAAATACAACATAAAAATCTATTAATTCCCTATAAATCTAAACAAAAAATACTGAAAATGTAATACTTCTGTGTGGTCATTGGGTTGTTTCTCAAAGCGTCTGGAAGAAATCACCCTGAAGGCCAGTTGAGTAAGAGGATTTCACAAAGAGGCAATCAAGTCAGTATCATTAATCATTGTGAGGAAAGCAAATTGTCAGACAGTTTAAGAATGAAAGGTTATAAAACTCCACAGGCTTGGTAAGAGCTATAAAAAATCACAAAAAGGTGAAGATCCAAGTTTTCCACCTTCAAGAAGTTCAAGTTGAGTTCCTACAGTCAAGTTGAGTTGAACAGTGGCTACCCCACTGGAAAATAGGTCATAAAGCATGACCCTAAAGCATGTCATAAAGCATGGTCTGAGAAGTGGATAGGGGAGGCCAATACACACCCAAGATCAACTGGGAATTTTCAACAAACCCTGGCATTTTCAGAATAACACTTAAATTTGAGGCTGACCTCATACGGTAAATCTGCTTTCTGTGACAGAATTCCTTAGCAACAGAGAAAGAAAAGACACAAGTTTGCAGAATAGCAGTGAACTGCCAAATGGCATTACATGATGTGGTTGAATGACACACAAAAACTGGACACAACATTTTTGGAAGTCCCAGCAGCAGTAAGATTAGCATATACAGTTGAAGCTGATGTTGAAAAGGAATGAAATCCTTTCTGTGAGGGAACCCACTGTGAAAGTAGGTCTGTTTTACTTCCACTGGTTCTGTTGCCCTAGAACTGAGGGACAAATGGATTCTAAATTTTTTCAGGATATTGTATCCAAAAATGTGGTTCCCTCTGCTAAGAAAACCAAGCTTGGTTTCTAGTAGGATAACAACAAAGAGCATACCTCCATGGTTAAGAGACTTTAAATCAATGTTTTTCATTGAATCTATTCATATTCAAAATTATTCACAATGGGGAGTTAGAGAGACTCTGCGCAGAGAAATGGACAAACATTTTGATTGAGAAATGCCTGATCCTGTTAAAAGGCTACAGGAACTACTTTCACTGTTTTTGCATTATCCAGTTTTTCAGATTTTTCTCTACTTATGCCACAAAAATGAAGGAAACAAGTACAGGTTAAAGGGGAACTCCAGTCCCAATTTCTCTGACCGGTTATTTAATTGATGGTATCGCAAAAGTTTGCATATCCTGAATTAAGTACAAAATCATGAACTCAATATATAGTTGCCATGTTGTCGCCAACCCCTGGTCTCGTCATGGGGAAGAGCAAGAGTTCGGGTGAATTGCAATGTGAAGTGGCCCTTCCTGCTCACTAGTTATACCAAAATATAAAAATAGCATTGCAGTTCCCATTTGAAAAGTAAAACAAAGAAGAATAAGGAATACTGTAAATATTCAGATGTAGTGCCCTCTTTGGGTGTGGAGGGGAATGAGAGAAAGAGCAGAAATACAAGACATATGGGTGTGGAGAACAAAAGAAACATCTATAATGATTGCTTTTAAGTGAATATAAATTATATGATTGGCAATGTTCACTTTTACACAAAATACAAAATCCAGTATTTAGAATTTGGAGATTCTTTGATTTCTTTCAGATCACTTTCCTTCTATATTCCAGATTTCTATCATTGCCAACATTTCTTTTCTGCCATTAGTCTTTGTTTTGAATGAATGCGTTTTTCAAAACCCTAACCTCTGTGGTTGCAGTGCCAGAAATAATGGAAGTGTGGTGTTGGTGCTTTTCCAGGTGGAACTCCTTACTGTGGAATGACCTGCGCAGAGCTCTATGAGAAGTTACCGCAGGGATATAGGATGGAGAAACCCAGGAACTGTGATGATGAGGTGTACGTAGTAATTCAAGCTGAAGCTCACTGTACAGATTCACTTAGTTCACTAGTCATTAACGTCAGCTTGCATGAATATTTCCTGAAAGAAATTAGATGTCTTTGTGGTTGCAGGTATGAGATGATGAGACAGTGCTGGAGGGACCGACCGTACGAGCGACCCACCTTTGCTCAGATTTCTGTACAGCTCAACCGAATGCAGGAAGCCAGAAAGGTCTGACTCGTTCCTTAATTTGTTTACTGTACATACGAAGGGATTTGTGGCTTGTGAAATATGAGCAGGTTGTATTTGCCACAGCACCAATAAAGTTCAAAGCTAAAGTACAGAGAACCTTTGCAGTAACGGCAATAAACTTCAGAATCTGGAGTAGATTGTTTAGTTTATCTGTATGGCCAAAAGGCTCTGTTGTTTTCTAGTATCCAAGACCAGACGCAATCAGTTTTTATCTCTCTGCAACTCATGCACAATTGTCAAAACGTTCCACATGTTGTGTTTGCAGATTTATTTCTGAAGATAAGAGATTGTCGTTGTAATAAACAAAGTGGCCAAGTAACTTCATCTGATGACAGAAATGTTCAAATAGTCTAGGTACAAATAGTGAATTTGTATGCCATTTTTCATCTTATAATAATTCTCAAAGTTGATACAGAAACATATCCTCTTTGGTTAGGCTTTATAATACATGACTATATATATATAAGTGTATCACATTTTTCAAGCAGTTTAAAAAAGTGCTGATAACACGTTCAAGCAGTGTAGCAACATTCAGTAACTGACATTTTTGCAAATGGGCTGTTATTCTTCATGCCTAGAATACTCACTCCTTTCATTGCTTGTTTCCACTCAGGCCTACGTGAACATGGCTCTGTTTGAGAACTTCACCTATGCTGGAATAGATGCCACTGCCGAGGAAGCATGACATAATCTTAGCCCTCTTTCCAGATGCTGGTAGGTTTTGTAGCCTTGCAGCATGAAACCTGAGAAGGAAATTGCACTGCAGCTCAACTGCCAAACCTCTGGAATTAAGACTCCTTATAAACCACAAGGACACTTTGGTAAAACAGTGAGAGGACACTGAAAGCAGGGAAAAATGCCTTTTTGACTTTAAAATCCATGACATGGACTTCTCAAGAGTGGCTCTACAGAGAAATCTGAAACCAGTTTGAGTTTGACTGTGCTTCGTTTTTGCCTCTAATGAAGAAGAGGTGCAAAAGTGACATCTCTACACTCACCGGGCTC